GCTCGACCACGATATATCCTTGCTACTTAGCTCAATCCCGATTTAACCTTGCTACTTATCTCAATCCCGATTTATCCTTGCTACTTAGCTCAACTGCGATATATCTTTGATACTTAGCTCAACCACGATTTATCCTTGCTACTTGCTCAACCACGAGTTATCCTTGCCACTTAGCACAACCACAATTTATCGTTGCTACTTAGCTGGACCACGATTTATGGTTTCTACTTAGCTCAACAGCAATTTTCCTTGTTATTTAGCTCAACTACAATATATCCTTAAAATTTAGGTCAGCTACGATATATCATTGCTACTTAACTCAACCACAATTTACTCTTGCTACTTAGTTCAACTACGATTTATCTCTTATATTTAGCTCAACCACGATTTATCCTTGATACATAGCTCAACCACGATTTATCCTTGATATTTAGCTCAACCAGGAGTTATTCTTGCTACTTAGCTCAACCACGATTTATTCTTAAAACTTAGCTCAACCACGATTTATCCTTGATATTTAGCTCAACCACGATTTATCTTTGCTACTTAGCTCAATCCCGATTTATCCTTGCTACTTATCTCAATCCCGATTTATCCTTGCTACTTAGCTCAACCATGATATTCTTGATATTTAATTGAACCATGATATATCATTGCTATGATATATCCCCGACACTTTACTAAACCATCATATATTCTTGATACCTAGCTCAACCACGATTTATGTTGGACGCCAATTACAATTTAGTAGTGTGTCAGAAATTGATCCTTAGTTAATACCCTGCCATCAGAAGTGCGTTCGACTTGTATGAGGAATATTAAGGATAATACGTTTCTGTCGCATTCTGATTATGAAGATCGTCATTTCAATTTTTCATTGTTGACTAATGTCCATTTCATGATTTGTACGTTAAGCAAGTTCAAATTAGTAGTGATATTTAAAACACAATGTATTCGTTGGTGGCGCTTTTCAGTATCGCGTGATATGTGTATACAAGTGTTCGTTCGTGTTGGAACTATTCTGGTTAAAACAACTAAACCAGTCTTCCATATATGCAACTACCATGCAATTAACAAACACGTTGAGTTGAATCACTGCATAAAGTCTTGATAAAAAATGTAGTCCTCTTAGTGAAAGTATGGGAAATCAGGCGCAGGTGAGCGTGCACGTTCTAATCCATCTTTGGACGATCCCCGTCACGGTGAAATCTAATCGGATAGAATACCACGTGCACAGAAATCAGCCAATGATATATGGAAGCGATATAAGCTATCGAGATTGTTTATTTAATATCAGATGGAAATATGCTTTAAAGTGTGTACGTAATTTATTCACAAAAAAACAGAAATATCTTTAAACAACTTTTATTTTTTCGAGGTAATTTCTTTTCAGTGTGCAACAATGATCTGCCAACATACCGATAAGTTTGCTTCAGTATAACTTGTATTTAAAATTCACACATTGTGATTCTTTCGACTATCAATCCATTCCCTACATCGAGGATATTAACAATAAATCCAGTAGCCATTTTATTGTCGCTATATAGCTTATGTACTATCTGTAGCTGTCCAATTCCAACATTGTAAGCTGCCGCTTTACAACTATACTAAAAACAAACGTGGTGATCAACGCTGCATTAGATTAATTTTAGTTCGTAAGTGATGGTACCGTGGAATCGTAATTAATATCTAGGTCTCAAACTACTGGTAAATCACAAGATAGCTAAATTACCGGCATCAATGTGGCGGTTTAAAGGACCAATTTACTGACTTACGGAAAACTTTTGATAATGCCAAGACGGAAGTTAATAAAATTGGGGAAATTAATATAATATACTCCGGCGTGTTTTGTTAGCTATATGCCAAAGACTTAAATGAAATTTGTAAACTTGAGAATAGATCAAGGCGAGATAGTGTTACATTTTACGGTATCGCGTGGTTGAGAATTAAACAGCTAAAGACAGTAAGAAAAAATAATATCTATATTAAACATCTATACTGAGAGTGAAGCGTTGAAAAGTCGTGATATAGTTGTTGCCCAACTTTGGTCATCGGCGGTTTTCAACCTATTATAATTTTGAAGTTAAAGTGAAGTATCGGGATCGGTAACGTCGACTATACCAGAGAAAACAAAGCACTAACACAGGGCAAGTAAAGCGTGGTGGTACCAAGAAAGGGGCAATGTTTATTATAGATATTAACCGGCCAAGATAATCGGGACAGGAGAAGGCGATTTTGATAATAAGGTTCCAACTCATCAGTTATCACAACGCTCCGGCTCTAAGACAAGATCCCAAACAAGTGGGCAATCGAATAGAAATTAACAGACTGTCCATGTAGCTCTACTAGATTTCTTTCATGGAATGTGCGATTTTTGAAATATAATTTTTTTTCCAATTTACTTGGGGAGAGAGTTTCCATTTCGAGTGTTAGTGCTCTAGTTCAGAATTGCCATCTCCAAGTTTGTATATAGTTATTTATTCAGGGCAGTACTTTTAACGTTGATAATGACATTTTGTTCTAGAACAAACTTCCTTATATAGCGGATACAAACATTGATTGTCTGAAATGAGCTGGTCATGCAGCCTTCATTTTGTCCGAAGTGTATGTTTATTGTGGCGGGAAATGATAACGCTCGTACAGGTAACTGTTTGTAGACGATGTTGTCATATTCTCTTATAGTATTACAGATTTACAGCGACTGTTAAATGAATATTATGAAGAGTGGAAATGAAGAAGAGTCTTTCAATAGAGAGATGGTCGAGTTGTATTATAAATAGCTGTGTATTATTTGCTCTTGTCAGCTTAAGTAGTCTATTACCTCGAATAAATTTGCAAATAAAGTCTCCTATGTGTAATTCAACTAAAATTGGCAGGCTCGGTCATTTTTCCAACGAGGTATTTAAAAATATTTTATATATTAGTTGTTACCATAATTATGCTTATTCTAACCTATGGTCCGAAGTATGAATATCTGAAAATTTTCACATGTACAATATATCTGAGTGTAGCACTAAATGTTGCTGTTCTTAGAGACTGAGCCCATTATCCAGACTTGGATTTATCGACAGCAAAGAGATGCAAAAAATACTGGAAAAATGTATAAACATTCCCAATCATCGTTACTCAAAGTGTTCACAAGTTATGTTGTGTAAATTACAGAATCATGGCATAGCCATGAAGTAAAACACACGTGTTTTCGTTTGTACATTTTATTACAGGTTTAAAGACGTTCTATAGTTTGTAATTTAAAAACAGCCTTAAAACCAGAACTTTATTTAACATTTAATAGTTGTTAATATTCCTTTACATCGAATAATGGTATCATACTTCTGTCACTCTTGCCACTCATTGTATATCAAGAAACTAAATAAAATCAAAATGTAGAACGAAATCAATCATACAAACTGCATGAAATTGAAAATGAGTATTTTGTGTTTGTGTTTTCTTTTTGATACTTTCAGAAAAAAAAGTATTTACCACTATTTTTGCCACCGCTGAGAGGAATTTATACAATTGATGATTTTATTTGATGTAAATTTGAAAACACGTAAAACAGTGGATTGAAAGAACCACTGCTGAGGAAAGAAAACTAAAACGGTAGTGTCAACGGAAAATTAGACAATATCTCTGAGTAAACATAAACGATAAAGCTTTGTCTATTTGGCTGATATCGACAAGCAACAGATTTCTTGTACTCGCTTGATCGTTTGATGTATCGGTACCGTCATCGGTTTAGTTGAAAATCTTTCGCGTGGATGCGGATAGTTCACCCCCCCCCCTTTGTAGCACTCGTTGGTTGGTAATAAAATGACCCCGCGTCACTGAGTCGCAGAATGTTCTCTGCCAGTGCCTTGTATGTCATCGGCGTCTTCGCTTTCTTTCTTTTCCTTGTCATCGCGTCAGTAAAACGATGTTAGTGAAATAGAATGTTGACTTGAAAAATAAAACAATTTAAAAGAAAGTTGCACAAAGTTAGATAAACACGCAGTTTTTCAAGTTCGACAGAAAGCTTATCCACCCGCCGGGCGTTATATCAGAATCGTCAACAACATATAAACATTATGCAAATATCCACGAAACGGCAGTTGTAGTTACTTGTGTTAGCATTTAAAACACTAATTTGAGCAGTATCATTCCGAAATTTAAACTCCTTGAAAAGCTGTGATGTTGTATTAAGGTCTAAAGTAACCGTTTTTTATTTTTTTTATCAATTTTTGAAAAATCTAGAAAAAAAATGAAAATTTTCCTTCTAGCTACCTTAAACGGTTGTCAGAATTATTTGATGTATGTATTTCATTATTACAATGTATATGTATTATTACGTTATGTAATTTGGACCACTGGCAGTACAAACTGAGATGAACAATAGATACACTGTACGTCCACCAACAAAGACAACCAAGACATTGTTAACAATGTAATTGATTCAATCATTCTTTGTTTCAGTGAAATTTATGATACCATTTCTAAGTTTTGTGTTTTAGTGAAATTGATGTCATTAAAGCTGGGGTGCTTGGCTAAACCTGTAAAATGGTTTTATAAAAGGCATACTAAAACTAAAAACAGACTATGAATATATTTGATTTTCTTGTAGGTTGCAATGAACATCTGTGATAGCATATTTAACACATGAAGCAAGAAAGGCATGTATAGCCATTGACATGGAAAATTGCATCTTTGAATTATGATGTTTTCTTCAAGACTGTTGACTCCATGATTTTACCCTTGTTACGGCTGATGATCTCCCACAGTAACTATTAATTTTTGTCAAGATCATTTCAGCATTTTATAGATGAATCGCAGAAAAAAATAGACTGATCACTGTTGTGTTTAATTCATTAGAAAAAAATTGCATAATCTGTTATTTGTGAAAAGTAAAAATGCGCTCTATCTTCTAGTTTATAAAGTCTGTGAATGATCTGTGCATTCGGAAAAGTGGCCAGGAAAAGCAAAACAGTCAGTGGCCACAGAGGGCGCGGTGTGAATAAACCGGAAGTCCCCTGCAAACGAAAACGAGGCAGTGTTGTAGGTACTCTCTCCGGCGCGTGTGTGTGTTTCGACTAATACTGCAGTGAAAATTCAGGCCCTTTTCATCGAATCGGGTGATTTTTATTATATAGATTCATATTCAAAATCTCTTCTGTAAGGTAAGTGCTGTGTATATCACTTTTATTCATGGAAGTAAGTCGAAATAGGAGTTAAAACCCTGCTTTATACCGGAAAGAAAATGTCGTTTATTTGCATTTTGGAACAATGTAGTAGCTTACATGCGGCGTATGTGTGTGTTTTACTTCCAGGTCATCATGCCTCGTAGGCAAAAGAAAGCTAGTTCTCCCCCACCCGAACAACGAAGACGTAGTGCTAGAATAGCAGCAACTCCTAGTCCAGCTTCAAGTCCTGCAACCACACAACGGGTAAAAACAACGCCGAAGCCAGCGAAGTCTCCAAAATCTGCAACAACAACACCAGAACGCAGAGGTAGAAGTACTAAGGCAATCAGCCAACCCGCAGCTAGTCCGCGAAGGGGTGCAAGGGCAAGGAAAGTTAAATCGCCACCGCCCGAAGAGAGTGAAGAAGAAGAAGAGGTTGTAGTAAAAGCAAGTCCAAGAAAGAGAGGTGCGACTAAAAGAAAAGCTGTAGAAGAACCAGACGATAAACCTCCAACAAAGAAAAATGTCAGTGAAGAATCTAAAAAAGAAGAAAAAGTTGAAGAACCAGCTGAAGCTGAATCAAAAGATGTAGAAATGGAGGAACCTGCTGAAGAACAAGAAGTTAAAGAACCAATTGAAACTAAAACACAAGATTTAGAAATGAAAGATGAAAAGAATGAAGATGCCGTAGACGAGAAACCTACTTCTGATGAGGAAATGAAAGAAGAAGAACCAGAAGACAGTAAAGTAAGTGAAAAAGAGTCTGAATCAATTCCACCAGAGACAAAAGAAGACCAAGAACCAGTTGCAGAAGAAGAAAAAACAGAACCAGAGGTGCCAGTGCCAACAACTGAGGTGACTCCACCAACAGAAGAACAGCCTGGAGAGGCAGAATCAACGACTAAAGATTCCCCAGAAGAGACAACAAATGATGATACCAAGCCTGAACAGGTTAGCACAACAGAATCAACACAGTCACCCGTGAAAGAAGTCCAGAGTGCAGAAGAATCACAGAAAGCTGCAGAGGAATCCCCTGCTATTCAAGAAACTACAGAACCTCAACCAACGACAGATGAAAATCCTGCACCTCAGTCGACCACAGAAGAAGTCCCAACTACTCAGGTGGATTCTGTAGAGACCACACAGGTAATTTGTCGCTTATTAAAAATTATTTAAAATTACTGTAAACACATTATTTGCTTGTTTTTAATTTTGCTATTTTCAATCGGTAAAATTTGCTAAATTAAATTGAATATAACAATAGAACTTGTTGTTTTTCCGTGGCAAAGTTTGTGAACTTGAAACCCTTCAAAAGAATGAAATTTAATGCCAGTGAAAATTAATTGTTTTATAGTACCAGTATTCCAGTGCACAGAACCTACTGGGTAAATAGTCTTTAATCAGACAATTTTTTTTTAAATTTACAATTTTGTAGTAGTAAAAAAAGAATTGATTATGTAGGGGTAAGTGACTTTATGCCATTTCTGGCTGCAAACATTTGTTGTTTTTTGTGCCTAAATCCTATACATGTTGATAATTTATAGTCCTGTCCTTTGTTTTTCAAATGCATTTCTTTTCAAAAAAAATTGCACCCACAATAAATAGTGCACAAACGCGAATACAAAATCAAAAGTCAGAACAAATAAATGCCCAAATATGTGTATTTTAGAACTATGAATATTTTATTTTGCAACTAGTGAACTAATGCTAAACTTGCAATAGTTTCAAATTCTGTGCAACATGTGGGAAAGTATCTTTGGTGCATTTCACACTCTTAAGAAATCAGGGCATCTATTTTTGCATATTATCACCTCTTAGTATTAACATTCTGGATGTGTGACCATGGCTTTGTCAAAATGTGTCAACGTGTCAGCATTGCCTTGCATTGCTTTATAATCTGTCAAGTTTGATTCATGTTGAAGCAGCAACTTTACTTTGTAAAAATAACTACTGTAAATGCATTAATTATTCAATGTGTTTTAATTTCACTATTATCACAGTAAACAGTAAAATCTGCTAGATTAAATTCATGTGATTAAATTCAAATTCCCAAAATAGTTCTGTTTATAGTCTGTTCTTCAGAAGATTGAGACAAAAATAGGCCAAATTTTTGATTAAAAACTGAAAATTGACTTAAATTTTATTTGTTGGCTGCAAAATTATGGTTCAAAAAGTATGGTTCATTTCCAGTAATATAAAAAAAAAAGTGCTGAAAAATTTGGGCGAGGAAGTCTGGTGGTGAAAAGAATAAAGCCCTGTGAATATGCTCAAAATACTGTAGGATAATTTATTCTTGATCGGAATTTATTTTCGCTTAAAGGATGATTCCGTGAAAATAAAATCCAGCGAATATACTTTTTTCCCTATATTTCACATTCAACTCGTCTGAAATCAGTGAAAATAAATTCTATACAAAACACCCAAAACGCCTTTTCAGCGAAAATTAGTTCCAGCTAAAATAAAGTACTTCACAGTAGTGCAATTAAATACTAGTGAAGATAAATGAGTACATGACATCAAATTTAACAATTCTTCAATTGCATTTTAGGCTGTTGCTGAACCAGCTGTTCCTATTGATAGTACTACCAATGGTAAAGTAGCAGAACCAGAAGTCACATCTACCCCTACTCAGTCAAATACTGCTGCCTCTCCTCCAACCCAACCTGACCAGTCGGACAGCCAAAATGGTGACCCTGATGTTTCACAGTGTGGTTTAGTAGATGATTCTGACGTAACACCAGTATCTCAGAAAAATGAGGCTGCTACTGAAATTAAACCTGTCAGTGAAGTTAGCGTCAACGACGTTGAAACAAAAACAGGTGAGGGCGATGGAGTAGTTGCTGCTACCACTGCCTAAAATTTGAAAAGATTTTATTTTTTCACTTATGTAATTCTCAGTATGTTTTAATTTGCCTACAAACAGGAACAAAATGGAATATACTATATACTGTCATTTATCCAGTGTTGATTATTAGAAAGTTGTATTCTGGTGTGGTTCATTTTAAACAACAGAATAGACAATTTTCATTCCAATTTTATTGTTACAAGTACACTAAAATTTTATGTTTGTATTAATGGAATTGTATCAAATACTTTTACAGAATCTGTCATATACAGATTTGCAATTTTAGAACTTTTTATCCTAAATCAGACTTTAATCAAATGTTGATCCGGTGTTCACTATTTTTTCACAAAATGTTTTAGTGTTGAGCTCCTTCTGCACTGGTATCTAATTTCATTAAATTTGTCTCTCTGTTGTAATGAACAGACTTTTTGTTCGTTAGAAAAAAATAGGCAAATGAATTGCATGGTGTTCTTAATTAAATTTGTTCTGTGCAAGACTGAAATTCCCCCAGTGTACTGAGAACATTGGTTTAAATTATTTGCATTAAAGTTTGTAAAAGTTCCTCTATTTCAGTGATTTTTTTTTCAAAAAAAAAAGAATATGTTGATAAATTTGCAGTCATCAGTTTTAGTTTTAGGGTTCTTCCACAAAAGAATTTTATCAGGGCTAAGTGCCATGTTTTAATTTTGCATTACCTTTCTGAATAAATTGACTTTTCCTGAGGCAACCCTTATTTTGGGTGAAATATAAGCATAGCTATTTTGCATATTCAAATTTTGTGCCCATAATTAATTAAGTTTTTCTATATAAAATGCATTTTTTGGACTTGTGGGAACTCGTGTAGTAATAATCACATCAACCACTAATTGTCATTTTGTAAGTGTTGATGAGATAAGCAATTTGGTTTTTAAGTTCGGAATTATAAACATTATTTTTTCATACATCCATTTGAAATGCTTGTATCTTGTATAAGTTGATGCTGCACTTGATTGTAGAGATGTGTGTCCCTCTATCACAATTGATGCTACTGAAAGCATGTTTTGACAGAACAAATTGTCATCGCATCCACACTAGAATATCTGAACCATGTTTTGATGCGATTTGTTGAACACATGACCCCAGAGTGCATACTGCAGATTTCTTATGGCACATGGATAGTATTTAGATAGCAACATACTATATCATTGTAAACAATTGTACTCAGCAATGTAGTGTGTATATTTTTATTTTTCAACTCCAGTCATTGTTATTCCGCTGTTCCAGAGACTAAATTGCACTGTTACTTGCTTGCCGACTTTGTTTTTACTGTAGCGGTCTTCTAAGTATTTTTTTGTACTACTGTAAAGGGGTAATTATTCACTGGGTTTTAATTTAGCTTATTTCGCTGACTGGGAATGCGCTAAATTAAAACACAGTGAATATGTAAAATTTAGCATAGAACACATTATCTAAATGACGAAACCGTGAATTTAAAACCTATTGAATATGCCTGAAATGGTAAATCAGTGAAATTTAAACCCAGTAAAAATTAGTCATTTTACAGTATGTGCTGATTCTGCTTAGCGGAAAAACTGGTTTAGTTTCTCAATAGTGATGTCAAACCATGACGAGATATAACCTTGACAACTTGCAAATAATATTCCCTAATAATCCAGTAGTGTTGAGCATTTCTTATCAAAGACTTACATATGTTGAACTAGTTTCACTTGGAATGCAAATGTTCTCGGCATTATTTGATGCTTGCGTATTATATGTACAGCCTACGTGTGTTTTGTGTAGATCATTTAAAACTGAAATGACTTGGATGGGTTGTACAGTAACCTCTCACCCCCAAATACATACAAGATATCTTTGTTACTAGATACAATTATTATTTTTAAGGTGCTACAGATTGTTGACTGCCGTCAGTTCAGATATTTAGTACCTGGTACTATAATGCAGGGTGGCTCACTTTGATCAGATTAACATTGGGTTTGTAGTAAAAAGTACATCCATCTTCAACAGATGGATAAGTGCTATAAAAGAATCACAATGTGTTCTCTCCTCTTATTAGTTCTAAATACTAAATGCTGCATAAATACCTAATAATAGTCTCCTCCAAAGAGGTTACAAAAAATGGCCGTTTTGTGCCATGTCTGACTGCCTATTTTGTTTCATACTGCAGGAGTGTACCTGTTAAGTAACGACTTGCCCAATCTGACCACCTATTCAGTCCTGGGTTTTGTCGGACAGCGTGACAAACTGTAGCAGCTGAATGCATGGTTGTATCTGGTCTTTTAACTACTTGTCTTTGTAGACTTTTCTAGTGTTTTAGTCAATGGTGTGTTCTTTTTTATATTTGAAAGCTTTTTAGCTGTGAATTGTCAACATTTTCAATGTCTGGAATCCTACTTTGTGGATGTAGTTATAGTTAGATTTGTGGAACACAATAAAATATCTTTATTACAAAATTTGACTGGCTAATTTGTTGTGTGACTAGCTGATGTGAAAATGTCTATTCTCCAGGTTTTCAGTTCACAACAGCTATTGTGTTGAATGTCTCCCTCCCCTATATCATTGGTAATTTCCTTTGCAATTCCAACATGTGAAAAGTAGACTTAAAATGCTAAAGCACACTGCAAATCTAAAACCAGTTTACGGCTCTGTGAAATTGACCATCTAATAAACAAACACTTCTACCTTGTTTGGAGAAAACAAAATATTGGTTGGAACGTAGTTTGCATAATGATCTAACTGAACCAGTTAATTCGTGTACCTCAAGTCAGACTTGGTGTATTCAAACATTTGTATTAGCATTGCTAATTTTAGTATTTACAAGCAAATCAAAACTCTTGCATGGTCTGTATGAATATACAGGGAATTATAAAACCCCTAGAGACTATGACATATAAATTCCATTAAAGTCATTTGTGAAGCACCAAGGGCAGAATTAGAAAGGTGAGGCAATTCAAATTCAGAGTGCCAACTGTCTGTCAAATTAAGACAGTGTATAAGTAAATACTAGTAGCCTGTTTATAATCGGTTAATGAAAAGTAATTTATTTATCGTCACGGTTACATAAGTTATTGACATGATTTTATTCGCAGGAGACTTTACTAGGTTTAAAGAAATCTGACCAATGTCTAGCCAGACGAGGTTGCGCGAGTTGCACCCTCCACGGTGCTCCAAACCCAACATGCGTCTGACAGTGTAGTTTTTCACCCTCCCCGAACGATTTTTTGTTGGTACCAATTAAGTTGCAGGAACGTCAGATAGTGACAGCCATCAAAGAGTAACCATTCACAAGTTTATTTGTTATGTGTCTGTGATTTTTGCTGACGATGCAAACACGGCTTTGATTGATGGTGTTAACATGACCACCAAAATGAATATTCAGTGAAACTCATTGCAAGAAGGCGTGCACTTTGCGAATTGACAGTATTGAACTTTCCAACCAGACATACATTTTTCTGTCGCGCAGCAAGGTCTGATGCCGTCGACCAGTGAGGGACTACTCACTCCTACATGTCAGACTAACCATGGAGCTAACCAATGTCCAAGTAATCATGAATTTGGCATACAATCAGTACTATAGTATTCATAGGTGTAAATTGCTGAAAAGACAGGTTTTTGATTTTGTAACTATGAAATATGCAGGTATACTTGATCTCTTTTCAGAGATGTTGCCTGTAATCTGATAAGAGACATTGTGATCTTCTTTGCTCTGATATACTCGAAAAAGGGGTTTAAGGTAGTGAGAAAGGAAAAACTAGTAATAGTTTGTGATTAGGACATTCCCTCCCAGTTATTAAGCAATGTACATGTTTTTATAAAGCTGAGATACAAGAGAATATGATTGATGGATCGTGTAAGTTTTGTGTTAATATTTGCTTAATAGATTAAGTTACAAATGTTCCAATGAATTCTTTTCAATGATGTAATGTTGGTCGATTTGTGTTTTTTCTTCCAGTGTTACTTTAAAAGATGATTATTTTCGAAAAATTTATATATACGTCTCATAGTTCTGAAGATAGTCAGTCAAACTTTAGACTTAATTTCATATCCATGATCTTGTGTCAATAACTCAAAAACAATAGCTCAAAGAAAAGTCTATGACAGAGACAAAATTTTTAGCTCCGCTGTTGACGAAGTTATTCCACTTTACTGATTGTCTCCGTCGGCGTCCGTCGTCAACTTTACATTTCCGACTTCTTCTTAAAAACCACAAACTGTATAGCAGTGAAACTTTCTAGGAAGGTACCTTGAGTGCTTCTCTCACAGATTTGTTCATTTTGTGTGGATATGTTCAATTGTCTTATTTTTAATGAATATTTTTGGTAAAAAGTGATATTTTCGTCTTCTTGTTATAAACCGCAAGTCTGATTGCTTTGATATTACATATATAGGTACTACAAGTGGACCTCTCTCGGATTTGTTCATTTTGTGATGATATCCTTAATTTTCTAATTTTCATGAATATTTTTGTCATTTTTTGGTAAAAAGTGATATTTTCGACTTCTTGTTAAAAACCGCTTTCAATTGCTTTGATACTACATATCTAGGTACTACATGTGGTCCTCTCTCAGTTTTGTTCATTTCGTGATGATATCTTTAATTCTCTAATTTTCATGAATATTTTTGTCATTTTTGGTAAAAAGTGATATTTCCGACTTCTTGTTAAAAACCACAAGTCTAATTGCTTTGATATTATATATACTACATAGATACTACAGGTACATAGACCTCTCTGAGATTTGTTCAATTCGTGATGATTTTGTTCTTCAATTAACTAATTTTAATGAATATTTTTGATAAAAAGTTATAAAAAGTCTGATTGCTTTAATACTATACATATTGTTCATTTTCTAATGATATCTTCTGTTCTTTAATTGCAATGTGCATTGATAACAGCGAAGCTATCTCAGCTGACAGGCTGCTAGTTTAGCCTATTTCATGATGAAAGATAGTGTAATTTGTGCACCATTTGCTTAAAGATTAACTATACCGGTTAACATTTTTTACTTCTCACTTAGTCTCCTTCAAGCCAGCAGCCAGGAAACAACCCCTGGAATAACTTTCTTGAACAACCTTCACACATAAATATCAGGTGAGGAATATGTTCATGAGTGTTTCGTTGTGAACAAAAATATGTATAAAAATGATTGTGTCACCACAATAAAACAGTGAAATGTATAAACTTGCAAGGCATGCTGAGAAAAAACATGGTCTCTACTGTCACTCATTTTCGCTACATCGTTTTCCAAAATCATAATCTTCTAAAATCCAATTTCTGAATGCACTTTAATGCAACAAAATAAATATAACATACAATACCGTAAATATTTATAATATAGGTGTCACTATAGGAACATTTCAATTATTCCTGATGCCTAAATTGGAGTACAATTTAGATTTTTTTGTAGACGCCGACACCTATTAAAAAATACAATATTTATTATCACCTTGCTCAATTTATCTTTCAAAAATTAAAAGCTTCCTGTGTTTTAAAAAACAAACCACATTCACTGCTGATGTAAGTTTATAAATCACTTTTGTGTTGCGCTGTCATTGGAGATAAACGGAAATTGACGAATACATTCGTCTGGTGAGTGATTACTTCGTTCCTGATATTTTTCATCGCAAAAGTCGTCCAACTTTAGGTATTGATAAAAAAAAATTCTGCAAATTTCCGCAATCAAATTTAAAGATACATGATAAGTTTATAACAAGATGTTTTGACAAGGCAGTTTTCATCGGTGTGCAGTAATGTGCAGATGTTGAAAATTGCGTCCTGTGTTGCAATGGTTTTGTGGCATTAAAAACATGCAGCGTACATGTTTATTTATCTTTTGCTGTAATCTGTATTGTTGTCTGTTTGGGCATGCGCAGTGTGTCGAGAATCTTCATGAAACTTCCTAATATAGCAAAAACACGGTGCCGATTAACGGTGACACTTGACATCATGTTTGCCAACTAATTAAAATGAGTACTAAGTAAACAGCTCCCAAGCATCATGAAACCAGCGGAAACAATAGTGTCCTCACTCCTTCTCTTTTCTACCTCCATGATTATAATAAAAACAAACATGGCTGCCACCAGGGTTTTACCAGACTCCACACACAAAGAAGTTCTCTGATTCTGTTTTAAACATTTTAGATTTTGGCATTCCCATGATGTATCCTTGAGAAGAAAAGATGTATAATAATTACCATTTGAAACAAAGTTGCTCAAATTTAACCACAAATAAGCGCCACCATGAAATGAAAGTGTAACAAAGTGGCGCCTAATTGAAGACAAATACAGTAGGTTATTACGAGAATACCTCATACTAATTTATACATAGTACATATGATAGTAGAGGGACTAATGAAGTTGTTAGGAAGGTCAAGCTACTTAATATCAGGGTCTCTGCTCAGGGTCATAAGGAAGGTCAAGCTACTTAATATCAGGGTCTCAGCTCAGGGTCATAAGGAAGGTCAAGCTACTTAATATCAGGGTCTCAGCTCAGGGTCATAAGGAAGGTCAAGCTACTTAATATCAGGGTCTCAGCTCAGGGTCATAAGGAAGGTCAAGCTACTTAATATCAGGGTCTCAGCTACTTAATATCAGGGTCTCAGCTCAGTGTCATAAGGAAGGTCAAGCTACTTAATATCAGGGTCTCAGCTCAGGGTCATAAGGAAGGTCAAGCTACTTAATATCAGGGTCTCAGCTCAGGGTCATAAGGAAGGTCAAGCTACTTAATATCAGGGTCTCAGCTCAGGGTCATGTGTATCTAAAACTGTTGATGTCCCGGATGTTATGACTTCAGAACCAAAACAAAAGCAAAATGTATATAATTATTCTGTTTACTGGTTGGATAAATTGGATTTATTTTATAAATACTATTGAATTCTATTTTCTGCATTTGTGTACAGTATATTTAAATCCATGTTGCAATAGGGCTGCATACCACAAGGGGGTGAATAACGATGCACAATTACACACAAGTGTCTGGGATCCAATAGGGGTAGGTTTATTATAAATAACAAAACTAGGGGGCCAGAGTTTGGCCAATAAAGAGACACTGCTGAGTAAATCTGTTGCCATGGCAACCCAAGATTGCTGAAATATGGCCAAACAATGGCAAACTAAGACTAATACTAAAACACAACAATGAAAACAAACTAAAACCCCTGGATGAAGAAAATAAGTAAATAAACAGCAGAAAAATGGCACGAATGACAAAACTCAAAGCGACTGTAAAGCAGCAAATTGAAATACAAAAAGGAAAAACATTACAAAACTCAAAGCGACTGTAAAGCAGCAAATTGAAATACAAAAAGGAAAAATATAACAAAACTCAAAGCGTCTAAAAACAACAACAAAAAAAACAAAGAGCTACCCGCCATTCCAAATGGGTTTGGGGGGGGGGGGCAAAAATGTTGGCACTACATAAAAATCAGCTGATTGCTGCATGCCTTGCTAGCTGTGC